CTTCGACGCCACACGGGCCCTACCGGACCCGACTTAGGGCCAGAGGGACACAGTAGGGCCTAAAGGCCCAGACTTGGGGGTACAGCAGGCCGAAAAGCCACATTTTGGACCAGACCGACGGGCAGGCCCAAACGACGTTCTCGTTTTGGGCCTGGCGGCGCTTTTGAGGCTGCCGCCCGCCGATCCGATCTGAATCGTCAATCTTGACGGTTCAGATCACGGCCAGGCCTCGCAGCATTGAGGCCGGCCTCTTTTCCACGGAGCCACTGGCATGCTGCATCAGCGCCAGCGCATATCGGTTGAGGCAGAGCGCTAATATTAGCGCAGGAGCGGAGCAGCAGCAGCAGCGCGAGCTAGCGCAGCAGCAGCGACGAGCAAGGAGCAGGGCAGCAGCCATCGGCAGTACGGCGGCCATAGCCGCGACCTGCAGTCGGACTGCAGCACAGACAGGTACCAGGAGGCGAGGGGATTTCCTCCTCCCTCCACGGCCCCGGCTCTCTCCTCCTCACCTCCTCCTCCTCTGCCATCTCTTCTTCTTCTTCTTCAGACTTTTTCTTCTTCTTCTTCAGACTTCTTCTTCTTCTTCTTCTTCAGACTCCATCTTCTTCTTCTTCAGACTCCATCTTCTTCTCCTTCAGACTGGAGACTTGATACTAGTTGGACAGAGATCAGTGTTGGACTTCGGTGGTAAGAGGCTGTGGTACTTACCGGATTCGGGACTTGGAGATTGTTGGGGTTGATACTCGGCAGCATCACAGATTGGACACCGGTTACATTAGGACTCTGTATCTCCAACATTGGTGACTTATTGTCCACGACATTTTGATCTTGTTCGATGACATTTTGGATTACCATATTGGTGACCTACTGGATTCTATCTCGGTGACATCTGGCGCTACCTACATCTCCCACCTCTTTTCGTCTCTCCTCCCACCTTTCATCTGTGTATGTTTGTACGGGGCCTGAGCATCATCTATGTTTGGATCAGACCCCACCATCTCACGATTGTTTGTGTGTGGAGTGATATCTGTGTGAGTCAGTCTATGTGAGTCAGTCCATTTATCAGACTTCCGTTGCATACATGCTCACCCTATATTGGTTGATCTTTGGTTCTGCCCCATACGCGTTGAAGTATTCACGAGTATGTAATAGAGAGAGAGCAGGGGCCATCAATCAATCAATCAATCAATCAATCATCTTATTTCCCCCCCCCCTTCTTTTTTTAACATCCCTTACACTGGGTTCAACCTTTTGACCATTAAAGCAGCCACTGCCTGAAGTGTCTGGTTCCAGAAGCCTCTTGAGGCTCTAGATTGGAGCATGATTGCTTGACCCATATGC